AAGAAGGATGTTGCGTTGCTGGAACATGTCCAGAGGAGAGCAACCAAGCTGGTGAGGGGTCTGGAGCACAAGTCATACGAGGAACGGCTGAGGGAACTGGGGTTGTTTAGTCTGGAGAAGAGGAGGCTGAGGGGGGACCTGATCGCCCTCTACAACTGCCTGAGAGGAGGGGGGAGCCGGGGGGGTGTCGGCCTCTTCTCCCTGGTAACAGATGATGGGACAAGGGGGAATGGTTTGAAGTTGCGCCAGGGCGGGGTTAGGTTGGACATTAGGAAAAACTTCTTCACCGAAAGGGCTGTCAGGCTCTGGAAGGGGCTGCCCAGGGAGGTGGTGGAGTCCCCACCCCTGGAGGGATTTAAAAGAAGGAGAGATGAGGTGCTTAGGGACAGGGTTTAGTGGTGGGATGGCAGGGCTAGGGGAACAACCGGTTGGGCTCGATGATCTTAAAGGGCTTTTCCAACCAAAGTGATTCTGTGATTCTGTGATCCTAAGGGGAGCGGCGGGAAAGGCACTGGTGGCCGCGAGGGGCGAGGAGCAGCTCAACAGGTCCAAGCAGATGGGTCTCCTTGGTGAAGGGATGCAAAAAGATTAATAAAAGGATCTTTGTGAAGCCAACTGTAGATCCATCTTAAATTGCTAGCATTGGTGGTTTAGGTTAACTTACTAATCATATGGAGTAAACTATAGATAAGAAGCTAACACTGTAGGGAATGTAGGAGAGGAGAGATGAGTAGCAAATGGCCCATCTTTGTTACAGGCCTTGGAAGGCATAGAATCATAGAATGTTTTGGGTTGGAAGGGACCCCTAGAGGTCACCCAGCCCAACCCCCCTGCAGGGGGACACACACCTTTAACCAGATCAGGTTGCTCAGAGCCCCGTCCAACCTGGTCTTGAATGCTTCCAGGGATGGGGCCTCCACCCCCTCTCTGGGCAACCTGTTCCAGTGTTTCACCATCCTCATTGTAAAGAGTTTCTTCCTTATATCTCGTCTAAACCTACCCTGGTTTAGTTTAAAACCATCACCCCTTGTCCTGTCACAGCTGGCCCCACAGCCCTCGGGTCATTTTTGTGGCCCTCCTCTGGACCCGCTCCAACAGTTCCATGTCCTTCTTGCGCTGAGGGCTCCAGAGCTGGACGCAGTACTCCAGGTGAGGTCTCACCAGAGCAGAGTAGAGGGGCAGCCAGAGCAGAGCAGAGGGGCAGGCATGTAGGAGAACAAAGTGTCTATGGAAGGCCTGTAGGAGAACAACATGTCTATGGAAGGCCTGTAGGAGAACAAAGTGTCTATGGAAGGCATGTAGGAGAACAAAGTGTCTATGGAAGGCCTGTAGGAGAACAAAGCGCCCAGCACTTTGTTGATATGAGGGTAGCCAAGGATGGTGACATGTGGGAAACAGACTCCACAATCTGTAAGATTGTACAGTAGGTATGTTTATTCAGTGCTGGGCTGCACAAATAAAAGATGCAAAGCACCTGGCTAGATAGTTATTCCTTGGTGGGTAGCTATCCCTTGGAAAAGCTGAGTGTGAACCAGCGTCAGGCTGCTGCAAAGGGGTGTGTCATTACTAATATTTCTTTTTGGCTCTGCCTAGCACAGATAAGGCTGGACCTGTTCCCCATTTGGGGCACTTCCAATACAAAAAAGTATGGTCCACTTTAAGGGTCTAAACCAAGAAAAGCTGAAAATTCTGATGGTCCTGTAAAGATGGGAGTTGTCTGAAGTAAACAGAAAAGAAGTCTGAGGAGGAAAACTTGTCATAGGCTGCATGGCTTTGAAGGACATGACATTGGGCTGAAACAGAAGAAAGGAGAACACAGTTTAGGTGTTAGAGAAACATAGGATTGCTGCAGAAGAGATGCTCCCTCACAAGGTGTCTTGTCAGAAACGCCACAGATAAGAGGTGATTTTGACTTGGCCAGTGGGGTGCATGATGAACTCTTAAAATTTTCTTCAGTCCTATGGTTCTTTGGCCATACTGCTTGCCATGTAACTGAGATCGTCTGCTAGCATCTTGTGTGTGCAGTAGAAAGGAAAATTTCTGCTAAGATTAGAGTTTAAGAATATTTTTCTTTTTACATGAGAGCCTGTGGTGTATGAATGCAACATTCTTGATTTTTTGGTAGTAGTTTTTGCAAGTTATGAAATGAGAGTTTACGTGATCGGAATATATGATGCATTTCATGTATAGGTGTAGCCTACTTTCCTCTTGATGGTGACAATCACAGTCATTTAAGTCTGTGTAATAAATCGGTCTTTGAGTTTGCTGGGGTGCTTAATGAAGAACCAAAATACATAGTCAAATGTAACTAAACCTTGGGTTATGTCAGATCATAACTGAAGGTTCGTGATTTCCTCCTATGATCTCCCCCAAATTCTGAACTAGTCTCAAAATTATGTGTCTGGAAACATCATCAACGTATGCCTTACACAGGAATTTAAAAGTGAACATGTTTAAAATGTTTTATGAGTATGCCAAAGACAAAGGTTCGATCTAGAAAAAGTTCTGCTATATTCTGGGCATGAGAGAATATCCTCTTTCAAAGTTTACCCATGGAAAATTTAAAACATGGTATTTTTTCCTGTGGATAAGCAAGCTGAACTTGAGTATAATATTCCTTTAAAATGTTAAGGGAGATGTTGATAGTATCCATGGGCTGGACTTGCATGCCCGTGGTCTTCTGGTTCAAAACATCTTATAGAACATGGGCTGACAGATTCTTCCAGTAACAGGAGATAGTCATACATTAAGCATGTAATGTATAGTTGCTTATTTATAGGAAGAAAAGTGTCACCTACATGAAAATTTTCCCCAATAAAATCAGGTGTCAGGCCAAGAAAGGCAGCTTGCTTCTGTTCGTTAAAAAACAATACCAGATCTGGCAGGATAAAAATGTTGTGCCTAAAGAGCCTCATTTATCAGAATACTGCATCAGTAAGTTCTGGACAGGAGTTACCACTTCTGGCAGGATAAAAATTTTGTGCCTAAAGAGCCTCATTTATCAGAATACTGTGGTTACATTTCAAACTCTGTGGGCTGTGGACTCACTGGAAAGTAACTTGAAAGTGATCATAGAAAGGATTCTTGGGGGAAAAATATTACAGGTATCATACTGAAGCCACCCTCAAAACTGTAGGGAACATGACCCATTCTTTATATGAGACAGCTTAATTGGTAGAGCAAGTTGTGCTTCATCTCAATTATAGTTCAGAATCAGTCCTCATTTTCACTTACAAAAAAAAAAAGGTCATGTTGCTGTATCAAAGCCT